CCATTCTTTCGAACAACTTCTTGTAATTTCTGCTTTCTCGCTTACAGTTGCGTGATGATGCGCCGCTCACTGATTTTTCCGGATTCATTGAAACTGTATACCCTATTTTATTTATAATCAAGCGAGAGCGTTTATTTTCCTCGCTATCGCCGCGCTGTCCTCGTCGCTGTTGATCCTGCACGTTCAGCACGCGTGGACGGACGCGATATCAGGGAAAGTGAATAAGGATCTCCTCTCCACCCGAGAGAGAAAGTCCCTTCCTCTTCCTCCCAACTCCTCTCTCTCCCGCGCGGATATTTCATTTTACTTTACCGCTGGCCCCACGTTATTATCGTTCATTGATTTCGCTGATCAGGATATAAACCGCTCGAGTCGCAATCCAGCTCGCTACCGTCGTAAACGTCAACGACACTTGTCGCACCTTTTTCTTATTGACACGCGTTCAATCGAGACAGGAAAGCTGTTAGCAAACGAGACATCCTGTTCGCGATTCTAAAGATCGATACCAGGTTGATTAATCGAACGATCAGAGACACGTGACACGCGATTCTTCAATATGTGCGTATACTCTTGAGTATAAAAGAATTTATTTGGTTTTGGAGAGGTGGAATATAAGTATGGCTGTAAGTTATAAGATGTCTGAAAAATATCTCTGATTCCCCTCGTTAAAATATATTATTAAAAATAAAATACGCATAATTATAAATCTCTTTTTAGGAGGTATAAAACAGAGAATATATGAAAGAGATATATAAGAGATATAAAATTATTACTTTTAGAAAATTTAAAAAACAATTTTGTTTTATTTTATTTGGTATATAAAAGATATGAAATTTACACGGAAGTCTTCTGCAAATTATTCTTTGTAAACCATCATTCTTATCTACTTAGCTATAGCTGGTTAGTTACGTTAGTCAGTATGCTATTATTATATTTTATTTTATACATACTTCCTGTAGTTCTTGCCAACATTTCTCACCGAGCAATAGATAACATCTCATTATTATATCATCCTGTGAGATGAACATATTCGCACCATCGTCGTGATGCGACGTCTTGTGTAATCTTTAGCCTCGCGAGAAATGATATATCAGGATGTCTCTTTCTAACGCAACACTCTTCTTTATCCTCGCAAATGAAATGTAATTACGTGCTGTTATAACGCACGTGTAATCAACAAAGACACTTATTCGTTCATGGAAGGATATGCACTGTTACAGTTTGTGCAATACGCTGAGTTATAATGCCATATTTCCATAATCGTTTCCTTATGTCGCAATGACATTTTGTCGGCGACAGCGAATGCAATTGCAGTTTGCTGAGATGCACGCGTTCGTCGTCATAGTCACGTTTGTCGCGAAACCGTTTCCTTGTATAATTATTATGCTCACTTTCAATTATATATTTTTAAAACAATGACAATAGAATTTAGAGTAATTAGCCGGAAAAAATGATACCTTTAGAATCAATTTATAATTCCAATATATACTCAGAAAATTCAAATATGAATTGGTAATGTATTGTAAGACAAACATTATGCATTCTATGAAATATGCCATAATCTATATATAGACGTGTAGACAGGTGTGTAAAAAAAATTACACATAGAAACATGATTACTCTCCTGCAATCTCTTCTGCGACATTATCGAAAGGTCAATATGGGACTTGTTGCATTGCCCACAGATATTTCTGTTTGCACTTAAAAGTCGTATATTATGACCATCTTAGCCATTTAGTTATGTAATTGACTATAATATATGCAGTGTGGAGTTGAATACAAATATATATTTATACAATTATTTCATCATTACGGCAGATAGAGATTCAAAAATGCATAACAGATAACAAATTCTTGCTTTATTGCAAGAAGTGAATCTTAATTTCATAGAACATTGACTCTTAAACTCGCAATTACCTTAATGTTAAAAATAAAGAAGTTGCCGACAAAGGTGCCGATATTCCGTGTATTTCTTCGCCAAGGAAAAGGCGTTCTTAAATTCGCTAGAGAATCCGTAGACAAGAAACAATCAGAGAATGGATAATGTTCGAAGATGAAGTCAGGTTTAACCTTTGCCATAATAATAGCGATAATAAATCGTGACGGTAAAGAGTCTCAGCCGCGCGTGCAGCCTGAGAAATCTTAAATAGCCATGTCAAAATTCTTCTCTCTTCGCTGCACGCTATTTTTGAAGGAAATCGCGCGCGCGTTTATTTGTTTCCTTCGTTTATGACTTTCCTTCCGCAATAACGATAACGGTTTCGCTGCGACTGAGGGAAGTAGCAACGGTTGTAATAACGACGGAGGCTGAGAGAAACGGGAAATTCCTGATGGAATGTCGTCACGATCAAGGATGACCGGTAAACCGGGCGAGATCACTCCGGATTCACGATTAGAATCTTACGTAGGCGCTGTCGCGAAAGTATTGTCCATATATGTGCATGCGTGTATCTTCGCGTCTTCGTTGGAAAGCATCCCTTTAATTGTTACGTTTGCCGTAATGTATTAATACCGTTTCTTGATTTGATCATATTTCTCTTTCCATTGAATTTAATGTCGATTTTTCGGAAGATAAATGCTGGACGAAGTTGTTGCTAAGTTGCAAATATATCATGATTCTAAATTCCTTTATGTTTTTCAGAAGGAATTTATTTTACGATTATCTACTGTATTTAATTTCGTATATTTTATAAACAGCTCAATTAATATTAACTATTCTCACTGTGGCTTATAAATGTCAATTTTTTAACTAGATTTTTTGCAGGTTTCTTCAGGTCGAAACGTCTTGTTCTACCTATGACATTTCCTTTTCTTCTCTGACTTCTAAGAATAGCATCGATCCTTCTGCTCGCAAGTCACCGACGGGCTTTCGTTTTTTTTTCTCTCCTTCTCACCTTCCCTTTCGTCGTTCGTGGCCAAAATGTGGCCATCCCGGTGTCAGGACGCGGCTCGGATGTTCTTTGTGAGTGAAATGTTTCTCGTAAAGGCCTCAAGGCCGACCAGATGCCACCTCCTCTCACTTTCCTGTCATATACCTCTGCTCTTACGATCCCCGTCGTGACCACCTTTCTCTCTCTCTCCCTCGTTTCTTTTCGTTTTCTAGCATTTTATCCACAATCTCTCCCTTGGATACTTCGGCGGTTCGTGGCCCTTTCGTATCGCGATTTGCAATCGACCCAAGGCTGCACAGGACAGCCGAAACCATAAATCCCCTCTATAAACCCCGCCCGATAAAATTGAGTCCACGATGAACTTTAAAGTTCAGCGCTCTCGTGCTCACGAACGAATTACAATCGCTTTAGGTCATGTAAACGCCGACGTTTCGATTAGTTTTGGAGTCCAGTCGCAGATTTGTATCGCGATCTGCCGATCGTAGTTTCCAGGATTCCAATCCTTTGTGCCGAAAACCCGTTATTGTCAATGTGTTGTAAGAGTCAATATGTGTGGATGTGCAATATTGAGCGACGATGAATCACTGGTACTCTCTCACTTTAAACATTTGTTTTATGAATAATATACATAGTTTGCGTTGTCATTACTGTCATAAACTACATCTAATTAGAATATACTTTAATATTATTTCCTGATAGTTACGACAGCTGACTTGTTTAAGCACCTTACTTTTTAAAGCTTGGATCGTGCTTCGTGTCCATTGTACCGAGACATTTCTGCATATCGTGAGTTTGGGTGTGCAAGAGACATTTCGATGGGGGTGAAAGGCATTAAACGAGCGTTGTGAAGAGGTCGTGATTGGATTATTTATTGGCAATAAAGTGGGTCGGTCGCACCAAACTTTCGGAGTTTCGGGAGTGGTAATGCGGCACTTCTCGTGCGGCACACTCGCATAATGTAAGAATGCGGGAGTGCACGCCCCAAACGCCTCCAACATTCCGAAGTTCGTCGTAGGACGTTTTCTCCCGTGTGCACATTCCGCGAGGATGCGTGTGCATTATTTTTACACGACTCCGAGCATTTGCGAACTGTGACGGGACAATAATGGAGAACGTAAGGCGTCCGGCGCCGATCGGATGAGTCAGGGATTGAATACGTTTGTTACGAAGTCGCCTAAATCTCAAACTATAAATTACGAGTTTAAGTCTACTTTCTGACTTTCAAAAAGATAAAATAGTGAAAAAACGTATAAGAAAGAATAAAAGTAATAAATAGTTACTTACGAGTTTTTTTTTTCGGTTTACTGCCAAATAACTGTGAATAACTTATAATAATATGTAGCGTGAATTAAGCAGAATAATTAAAAAGAATGTTTCTGACAAGTTGAGTATGTAGATAAATATTTAACTGTTTCAATTATTAATTACTTACTTGTATAAATGTAATGTAAATATCCCAAAAATCAAAAGAGAAATGTTATTTGATTCTCTCCCGGTAAAAATAAAATTTTGTACGCGCACAAACAGAACGTTGTTTTGCAATTTTTGTTATACACAATTAAGATTTTACACTTGACTGATGATGTAATCCAACGACGTTTATTTTTCTTCAATTACATCTCATCTTTGTTTTGAAGAACAATGAGTTATTGTATTTTTTTCGTGAGATCATTAAAGTATATCTCATAATGAAACAAGTTTTACAGCACGTCTATACTAATTGAAAAGATACATAAGAGATAATTGACTGAAATTTAAATTAAAAATAGTCGTACTTTTTTATCTGCTCGCAAATAAATTTTAAATTCTATTAAAAAATAGATAATAATAAGCAATCATATCATATTTTTTTTCTTTGCATTCTAAATTTAGTTATCAAAGTTTAAATTTTCTTTAATATACGCTATAAAAAGACTAAGTATAAACAAATGTAATTTTATAGAAGCTAATCTCAGTTTATAAATTTGTTTCAAATTTGATTTTAACAATTCCGTTTTCTCTATATTCATGTAACATAATTACCATTCTGTGTTTTAATGATGAAGTATCGCTTTAGTAAGATTTATGTTGTGAGAACAATTAAAAGACTACATGGAGTAGAGTCGCTTTCCAGAGAAACTTTATTGTCACATTAATTTACATTTATACAATAGATGATTTAGGTGCTTGACGGATGACAGTGTTTTGCTATGTACACATCATTTCTCCATCATCCCCAACATGCACGCGTCGATCGAAGCTTAGTATGGCTAAGGGGAAGATCTCATTTCTTTTTTTCGATTAACACTCGTCGTAATAATCGATACTTCCTAGCTTTCTGTTGATCGTTTATATTTTTAATATCGCGCGGTAAGACATAAACGAAGTTATTGTTCGAGAAAGACGTGATGTCTCCATATGACTCGTGCACAAAATGTACTACAATTCTTTAGTGTGATTAATTGTGTATCGAAAGTTCGCCTACACGGAAATCGAGACTATGGTATTCCGGATCTACGGTTCCTAAGAATTCGGCAAGTAAGACTGTTTTATAAAATCGTACAAGAAAATCGTGAGAAAGACGACGGTTTTCGGACACTGATCGATTGTCGAATTCGATTGATGCGCGTTCTAAGAAATCAACAAGCTCAGGCAACTCTTATCACGAATTGGCGATCGCTTTAACTGCGCCTGCGGTAGGAGTTGCCTTTAGTTGGCTTTACTTGGATTTCCTCCCGCTGGGTCTCTTCAACCTCCTCCTGAACAGTCTTTCCTCTTCCTCCGAACCTGCCGCGTCCTAATGTTCTTGCATCGTTACCTACGTTACTTGCGTTACCTGCGTTACTTGTGCTAGCCTTACGATTGTTTGTGCTGGCTCTGGAAATATATCATGCCATTATAATATGTACATGTTTCGCGTAAAAGAAACATACGACGTTTAAAATAATTATCTTTATGAGATACTGTTATCTTTTTAAAATAGAAGTCATTGTACTGTTGAGAATCATAGAAGATCTGTTTTTTTTTTTAAATATTGCTTTACTTTGACTTGGCTGTGGTATGTTCCACTGCAGAATGCGTGGCGGCAGTTTCACGTGAATGACTACTAGGTCCAGTTTGAGCTCTTCGTCTCTTCAAGGCAGCCAAAAGATCCTCGTTTGATCTGAAATTACATAAGCGCATACCTGTTATAAAATATCCGGATAAAATATCTACGGAATATTTTACCGTATAAATATAGTAATTACCTGAAGGGCCTGACGCCACCGTTGTTTCGAAGTTTCTTCGCAGATTCAGTCGTCGTCGTAAGCGCTTCGTCCTGATTTTCGTCAAGCGCGTCTTCGCCTTCCACCTCTTCTTCTTCGGGCGCTTGCTCTACCGGTTTCGATGTTGTTGATTGTGCCTAGAGAGGGGAAAAAAGAGAGAAAAAGATAGAGATATTTTCGTATATATGATTAAGATGTTGAATTTATTTTAATATTATTTTAATTTTACTTCGTATTGTCGCACAACGCGTTAAAAGATGTTGAACTCACCGGTGCTTTCTTTTTTCCTACATTTGGTACATTGACACGTCCTCTCGAAGATAGAAGACCTCCCAGTCGACCACCTGCTGGTTTTGTCGGCGCCGGTGTCACCGGCGCGGGCGCTGCTGCCTCCTCCTCGTAATCATATTCCTCTTCGGCTGATTTGCAGACGGCTATTATACAGAGGGCCAATATTCTGCAAAGAACACATTTACGTAAATTATAATTTTTCACTATACTAGCGTCTTTTTCCAATTTACGTTCCCGTTGCTTCTCAGAAAAAGCACAAGATTGTAAAATTCTTTTAATGTTCAGTTATAGCATAACCACGTT